ATCAATGGACTCTCTCTCTGATCCACAATTTGCTTCCAGTTGGACACCAGCAGTCAATAATGAAATACATTACAATATCTTCTGGATCTGTTATCATTAAATATTTTGTATATGGTTCTGAAGCTGACAGTCTAATAGAATATACTGGAGGAAAAGTACAGTTTATGCGTCTCATTGGTATATTTAGTTTATACATTAATGATCATCCTGTCCTTCAAGAAGATGAAAATATGAACTTCACCTTTGAGCTAGCTCTTCTTGAGGCAGTCACAGCTGGTAATAATGAAGCAGTAGAGTTTCTTCTTCAACTAGAACTTGTTAATATTGATCGAGAAGGCAAACATGCTCTATTGTTAGCTCATGAGAAAGGAGACAGTGATATTTTGCACATGTTACTGTCTGCTGGTGATGTTCAGGACATTGAAGATGATAAACCTAATAGTTGTGAACTCAATCCTGGTCCTAATTTTGATAATGTACCGAATATTTCATTGCTAACTAAAATGCTTGAGCCACTTGTTGACTGGAAACCATTTGGTCTTGGCCTACCAGGAATTACTGATTCAGATATTTCAAAGATTGAAGCAGAAAAAGCCACAATTGATAAACAAAAGTCATCATTGTACTCAAAATGGCTGAGTGTAGCACCTAAAGCAACATGGGCTGATGTGATTAATGCACTGAGCAAAACAAAAGAGGAGAAACTTATGCAAGACATTTGGTTGACTTTGGAAAAAAGTCCACCATCGTCAGCTAAAAGTTATTATGCTTTTGCTTCCAAACCCTTAACACAGGCTGAAGAAAAGTTTGTCGAAAAGGAGGTAGATCTAGTGCATGCACTAATTGAACTCAATAAAGAATTCTCTTTTTTAATTATGGATGTACAGTCAGGTCTTCAGATGAAAATGAAGAAGGATCCTGAGCAGCTAAAGCATCTTATTATATGGTTGGAGGATTACATGGATTGGAATGATAAACTAACAAATGCATCATTAGACCAAATTTTTAAAGCTATTGATCCATTTTATGATTTCATAAAATGTGATCTGATAGTGGACATGAGTGAAAAGTTTTTACCTGGTTTCGAAATTGGTGATGATAAGTTAAGTATTGTTAGCAAATTAAAAAATTATAAGGAAAGAGCCAATGAACTTCAGTCTTCAGTTCGATTGGAAGATCTTAGCAAAGCATTAAAAAATATGTATAAAGGGGATATGAGATCTACATTGAATATGCCAGTGATTGTAATGCACCTTGATAATGCATGGCGTGGTAGTGATATCAATGGGCTCTCTCTACTGATACAAAATTTGCTTCCAGCTGGACACCAGCAGTCAATAATGAAATATACTACAGTAACACTGGGATCCGTTATCATTACATGTCATGTGCTCAATTCTACAGCTGATAGTCTAATAGAATATACTGGAGGAAAGTTACAGTTTATGCATCTCATTGGTATATTTAGTTTATACATTAATGATCATCCTGTCCTTCAAGAAGATGAGAATATGAACTTCACCTTTAAACTAGGTCTCCTTGAGGCAGGCAAAGCTGGTAATAATGAAGCAGTAGAGTTTCTTCAAACTGTAAATATTGATCATACTAATGAAGAAGGTGAGACAGCATTATTGTTAGCTTGTAAAAGAGGACATAAGAACTCTGTACACAGTTTATTGACTGCTGGAGCTAATGTTAACATCCAGGACAATAAAGGATGGACTGCACTAATGAGAGCAAGTAAATATAACCCTATTTCAATCATTCACATGTTACTACAAGCTAATGCTAATCCTCACTTGAAGAATTCAAAAGGATCAAATGCTGTAATGATTGCTAGTTATTATGGTAACTATGAAGCTGTTGAGTTATTGATTAGTAAAGGAGTTGATTATAAATATCAACGAGAAGATGGAGCAAATGCTTTTATGATGGCTTGTATAAATGGTCACACTCAAATAGTTGAATTGTTGCTGGAGAAACAAATTGATCCTAATGTTCAAAATAAAGATAGAGGGAATGCTTTTATGCTGGCTTGTCAAAATGGCCATGCTCAAATAGTTGAACTGTTGCTGAAGGAACAAGTTGATCCTAATGTTCAAGATAAAGATGGAGGGAATGCTTTTATGCTGGCTTGTCAAAATGGTCATGCTCAAATAGTTGAACTGTTGCTAAAGGAACAAGTTGATCCTAATGTTCAAGAGAAAGATGGTTGGAATGCTTTTATGCTGGCTTGTCGAAATGGTCATGCTCAAATAGTTGAACTGTTGCTGAAGGAACAAGTTGATCCTAATGTCCAAACAAATGATGGTTTCAGTGCTCTTTTGTTCGCTTGTCAAAATGGTGACGCTCAAATAGTTAAACTGTTGCTGAATGAACCTGTTGATCTTAATATTCAAAACAGATGTGATCATACTGTTATACACTATTGTCAGTCGTTTTCTTATGCTCCAATAATTCAAAATGACAAAGATATTACTGCAGAACAATATGAAGTAGCTAAGTTACCGTCAGAATGGAAAGCTGATCTGCCTACTAAGTGTAATAGCACAATGCTATCATTAGCCGAGACACCAAAGTGGAGCCTTGTAGATGTTTAAATACATAATTTCAGTAGTTTAGTATTAGTAGCTTAGTGCATAAATTTAGTGACTTATTACATTAAATATACTTATAGACTAGTATAGATGTATAGCTGTGTAATAAATCTCATAATTTTTTTGCTGATTTTTATTTTGATAAGTATTATATATTTATTATGATAAGTATTTTGAACTGGTTGATTTGTATTTTGAGAAAAATTTTTCTCTTCAGTCATGGCAGGTGTGCATTTGCAAAAATAAAAACCAGGAAAAATTTTTTACTGACTATTTGCAAAATAGTAAAACTCATGATAATAATATTAATAATAATAAGCTAATTAGTTATTTATTGACTGCATAAATATACGAGATATTCTAACTAGCTTCACAAGCAGTGCACTTAGGATTATTGAGAAACAGAACCACAGTCCAGCCCTCTGAAGTGTACATACGACTATTGATGGTTTAATGAGATAGATGACAGTTACCACAAAGCACAGTGTTATTCCAATCAATATAAGTATCAACTGTTCCCTTCCAGAAGACTTAATAATTGGTCTGTTCCAGTAGTATATAAAAGTTCCAGTAACAGAAGCTACGGACATTAATCCAATAATGGCGAGTATCATGAGTGTTATTGCCCATGGATCAGTTATGTGGAGGAAAGATTCTTGTACATGAACACAGGTACTGCTACCATGGAGTAGATCATTGCCCCACATATTGTCAGAGCACACGTCACAACTTGTTGATAATGTATTGTTTGT